GCGTGGTGAGCAGGTCCTGGGCCACCCAGGCACATCCAGTTTGTCTCACAGATCTTTAAAAGGTTTGTTCCAGGCATAACAAAAACATTTGGTAAAGGCTGTTGGAGACAGCTTCTTGCTGTGTAGTTTAGACTGGCCTTGAACTCACTGTGTAGAATGGGCTGACCTGGAGCGTGCGGGGGCCTTCCTGCCTTAGCCTTCTGGCACTGGGATGAGGGCCACGCACTGGCCTGGTAGAAGTTTTCTGCATATTACATCAGTGACTTGGAATTACCAGCCAGCATAGGACTCGTGTTGGAGCAGTGGTGTGGCCAGAGACCATACTCGAGGCGGGTGTGCTGAAGCTGTCTTCAGTTACAATTCAGCTTTTTTTTTTTTTTTTTCCCAGAACTGAATATTGAGCCCAGGGGTTTCCCACCACTGCGCTACATCCCCAGTCCTTCATAATTTTTTAGTTTGAGACAGACTCTTGCTGAGTTGTCCAAGCTGGCCTCAAACTTGTGATCTTCTTGTCTCAGCCTAAGTGCCTGGGCTGGCAGGCCCCTGCCACCTGCCGCAGCTGCAGTTTGACTTTAATTCTAGAACCCTAATTCAAGGTTTTTCTCTCCAAAAACATTTTGGTGGTGAGTCCTCCTAGCCCTTTGAGTTTCGAGTTAAACATGCATGTACTACATAGACGCACAGTGAACTGATTACTTCCTCCCTGGGCGCTGAACTTGGCCCCTCTCCAGCAGAGAAGGTGCTGCCGGCTGAGCTGCAGCGTCGGCGCCCCCTGGCGCTGGCGCGGAGGACCGCCCACGGCGGTGTGTTTGCAGGATGACTGACTGGAAGGCGGCCTGGTGTGCACGCATGCGCTTTAATTGGACTTTATCTCAACAAAGAATTGCTAGCTGGATGATTTTATTTAGCTAAAACATACTCATGAGTAAGACAGCAAATTTGTTACATGGACGTTTTTAGAAAAAAAAATTCATGCATTTTAAAAGTTCAGTATTAAAATATGTTATACACAGTGCACTATACTTGTATGTAGGGATTCTGTCATCAAAGTGTAATGCAGTTAAAATATTATTGTGTATAGTTATTGTTATTATTTTATGGTACTGGGAATTGAACTCAGGACCTTGTGCTTGCCGGGCAGCACTTGTGCCACTGAACTATCTCCCCAGCCCTCTTTTGTATAATTACTATCTCTTCATCCTTGGCTTTACCTATCAACTGGGAAAGAATAGTAGGTCTTTTTTGCTGTTTTCAATTTCCCAGTTTCTAATGAATTCATCCAGTGTACAGAAAATGAGCTACTGTTGTAGCGTTTATTGCATTTCCTCTGCAGTGGTAAAACTTAGTAGAGCTGATTTTAGATTTGTTAGTAATAAAAATAATAATTCACAGTAGTGCTTACCATGTAGTAATGAAACACCATCCCTTTCTGTAATGAGGCTTTCTATGAACACTGCTCTGCCTAAATACTTTCTAAAAATTCATAACGCCCATGGGTACAGTAGGAAAACAGCAGTGAGTGGGACAGTGTCCAGGCTTTCGGGTACTCTGGTGCAGGACGGTGGGAAGGTGCTGTGTGGGCGACACGGGGGACGCCCCTGTGGCTGAGTGGAATGGCGTGGCTGTGCAGGAGAGGACGCGCGGCCCTGCTGAGCTCTCTGTAGCCTGAGCAAGGGCCTCATGCACGTGCCGGTCTCCATCCCCACACTGCCCTGCAGGGAGAACCCAGACTCAAGTGACCAGCTTTAATAATGTTAGGAATTAGTTGGGAGGAATCATAATTTTTGCTATTCCCTGCAAAACTAATGAAGGAATGACTGTCTTGTTTAATACAAGTACTTGACAGCTCCCTCAGAGTGTTGGGGGTGGATGGTCTTCAGCGGTGATGGCATCCCTTATGCTGCCCTCTCTGCCAGCTTCTGTGCAGATGAAGCGGAGCCCTCAGCACATTTCAGAACAGGCGGGGTCTCCTTCCATAATTCAGGCTGGCCTTAAGCTTACTGTGTAGCCTAGGCTGGCCTTGAGCTCCAGGTGATCCTCTTGCCTCAGCCTCCTGAGTGCTGGGATTATAGGAGTATGCACCACACCTAGCACTTGTGTATTTTTAAGACGATTGCATAAAAAAAAACTTGTGCACGTGATAGGAAACCGAGGGGTGCGTAGTGTTTGCAGGGACAGTGTGGTTGCTGGTTCAGGGAGTGTCTGGTCTGCAGCCTACTGGGTGCAGGCATTCCCGCCAGCAGCTCTCGTCACATGCACATGTGGGCCGCTGCGGGTCACCCTGGTCACCCCATCCTCAGCCTGCTTGCTGACACTGAGGTTCTTGACACTTAGAAGTCAGTTTGAGAATTCATAATTTCAAAGAAATTGCTAGTGAATTGGCTCACACAAAGGCACAGAAGCGTTGCCCAGCCCTTAAGTTGTCTTCAGTAGGAGCGCTTCTGGGGACCAAGTCTCTTGTGTGACAGGCGAGAAGCGGCCTGGGCAGTGCTGGTAAGGCAGTCTACTTACACGCTTGCCTTCAGTTTGCACAAGAGACAAGGGGCCTGGCCAGCCTCCAGGGGTACAGCAGCCCAGCCAGGGGGCGATGGGGCCCCACCTTTTAGTTCCTAGTGCCTGCCACACTCCCATCCCTGGCATGGAAGTTTTATTTTTGGTATTCATTAGGATTTTTTTTTTTTTTTGAGACAGGGTCTCACTAGGTGAGGTGTTGGCTGGCTTTGCACTTGTTTATGTAGCCCAGGCTGCCTTGAACTCAGTGATCCTCCTGCCTCAGCTTTCTAAGAATTACAGGCATGAATTACATGCTAGAATTACAGGCATGAGCCACCATGCCCTGCTGTTATCAGAATTCAGGGTTGCTTTGTTTAATATTTTATAAAGTCTCTCCTTGCCTTCATTGAGCAGAAGATTCACCCAGCAGAGGCTCTGGAAATCTCGAGAGCTGTTGCACCCCTTCCCCATTGGTGCCCATGTGTGCAGAGCTTGGCCCTCTGCCCAGGAGCACCCCGTTTCCTCCTCGTGCTGTGTCCTGCTTTGTCCCCTTGTCCTCCTGCTCATGCCAGTGTGGTCCTTCCGGTCACAGCACCTGGCACGGCCCTGGGTCATGGGCATTCTCGCAGGTTGAGTGTCTCTAGTCTGCTGCTGTCCGAAAGCTGGAGCCCTGCTGCACCCCTGGCCCTCAGCCTCTCAACTTGTCTGCTGTGGGGAGGGCACTTGCTAAGTACCAGATACCAGGAAGGCTTCTTGGTGACCACCAGCTGCATCCTGGTGACTGCTGCTACGGGACTGGAGATGCCAGCCATGAGAGTGTCCTGGAGAACCAGCTTTGTAGAGCGTGTCTGTGTAAACCTTAGTGTATTTTTACACGAATTTCTCACAGGATTCCTAGCTCTACTCAGAAATGCCCTGTTAGGTCACTTCAGACCAGACAGCTGTTGCAAGTGTGTGCCTTGGGCGGCACTGGCACGGGCCTCTTGTGCGCGCGAGTGCAGGCCGCTGGACACGGAAGCTGTGTTTCTCCTTACCCTCCTCCCTCTGGAAGCGCAGGGTTGCAGAGGTCGGTGACCCTGATGTCCTCGTGTGTTTGCTTCGCTCACAGGAGAAATATGAGTGTGCGGTGAAAAGAGCTAGCATCACGGTGGTGACCCCCGACTGGGTGCTGGACTGCGTAGCTGCGAAAGCCAGGAAGGACGAAGCACCCTACCACCCCCGCCTGGTCATCTATGAGGAGGAGGAGGAGGAGGAGGAGGAGGA